GTAACTGTCTATAGGAAAGGAGCGATACTTGATTCAAAATAACTATAGAATCTTCATTTTTCATGCTCTTTTCTTCCAGGCATTTATGGAAGGTGCGAGCAAAGCTTATGCATTGCCTTCCTCCCTCCTTTTATTTGACCACACCCGATTTCCAAGTATGTATTTTCTCATTGGAGAATCTCCCAATTTAACAACTGTTGGGTGGAGTGAACACCCAGTTAGATTACAAAACTGTGCCTTGTTACGCTGAGAACACACTTAGAACTTGGGATGATTTTGTTCTTCCCTCTGCTTATTACACCCATAAAAAGAATGTTTCACTAAAACAATTACAAGCAGCTATTCTTTAGAAGGAAAAAGTTTTATTTCAAGGTTCTTAATTTTACCTTTTTTAGGTCAAACACTTGTCTTTGCTCATACCTATAAATGTGTGTGTTTATATATATATATATATCTGTGCCAATGCAGCAATATTTATGGAAAAGTGCCTTTTAGGAAATTGTAATAGATTTTGTTTAGAGCTAGAAGCTCTTGGGATAGAAGTTACAAACTGGTAGCCTCTGGGCTACAATAGACTCACAGAATCTGCCTTCATTTGTCCTGCCTGGTGCTTTATTATTGCTGCTGCCGTTGTTTTTACTTCATCTTTAGAAATCTGGAGATTTCACACAGAAATCCAGATTTCTGTCTTCTCCTGAAAAATCCGGAGACACTGTAAAAAATTGTGTGCCGTTCAAACACTGGTGATGCTATGATTTTAAACTGCAAACGGCAACAATTTAAAGGCTTCCATCCCTTCATTTTGATGTTTCTCTTCCGCATCAAATGGTGTAAAGTACAAGCACTAAAATGCTTACCCAGAATGCTCCCTGGCTTAATGGGGTATTACATGCCATCTTATTCCACCTGTAATTTTCCCCCCAATTTCTATGTTATATCAATTTTTCCTTCATAAAGTTTTTCACACTTGGGCCTATTTTCTTCCTCTCCTTGTTATGACTTTTATCCAGGTTGTTTTCCTCACTTTTGGGCTCCTGAATGAATGCATTGCTGTCTTAGCCATCACCATACCTCCTGCTTTAAACTTGCCTCTGCCTGTCCCTTCCCACTCTGCACATCAGTGACAGATTATATCCCCAAATCCCCCTTCAGTATATTCGTGCCTGCCCTGAGACCTGTCGTGACAACCCAGAACCTGCGTCCAGCAACTTAACCTGTAGTCCAAACTCAGTCTGTTCGTTCCCCATACACAGATGACTAGCCGGAAGGCCCATTTCCCTTGCACCAAAGCAGGGGTCTTCCAGCCCCGATGCCTCTGCTCCTAGTCGTCTGTCTCCTCCTCTCCACCTGTGCAAATAGATCCTGAGCTCCTTTAAAACCTCCTTTCTTACCTATTTTGGTCCACCCTTCTACCTCATGGTTCATCTTGCCTTGTACATATTTCAAAATTACATTGTGTTTCACTGACGGTCTTAAAACAGAGTTTCTCCACGTAAGGTCTGTGCACATCTTACTTCAGAATCACCTGTGTTGCTCTTCAGCATTTATTCCCGGGCTTCCTATATACTCTTGAATTCCTTAAGTTGGGGCCCAGGAATCTGATACATCTCAGATTTGGAAAGTCTGGCATTTAAAGGCAAGATGACTAATAGTGGTATAAGATTGCCTGATGGTTTGATAGGAAATCAAACAAGGTTCAGTTAATTTTATAGTGAGTGCATTTTCAGGCCTGCCAACATGTTTCTCAAACACTTTTTCCTCTAATTGTTGTTAGTAGCTCTGGGTATGGCTTTTGCCAGCTCTTTGACACCATGACTGAGGCCTTCAGGCACACGAGATCCATCTGCATCCGAGAGCCAGTGGAAGGTAAATAAGAGCCTCTTTGCCTTTCAGGCAAAAGCAAGACAATTAGATAAACCCCTTGAGTACAGGACCGTGTTTGTTTTTCTATTTTTTTTTTTAATGGTTCTCTACATGCTCATGCTTTGTTTCCAGTAATGCCATGATTAAGAAATGTTGAATCACATCGGATAAACTGTATTAATGTTTGAAGTTGAGAGGTTAGAAGGAATATCAGTTCTGAGGTTGGCAGACAGTGGTAATTCCTGTGGGTCACATGCTCACTCTGAGGCCAGACACTCAGGTCATTGCTTTCTGTAGGTGAAACCAGGGGAGGCTTGCCCCAACCCTAATTAGGCATTGCTGGGATTCCCTCCATTGTAACAACAGGGAGCATTCAGCTGGACTTGCAGGGGAAGGCAAGAGACCCATTGATGTGAGAAGAAACTACTTTTGTCCTTCGTGAAAAAAAAAAAAATTGAACAACTTTAAAGCATCTGATTTCATTTCTTTGAAAGTGAGGGGTTGATAAATTTAAAATATGGATTGATAACCCCTGGAGGAGTCACTGTGACAAAGTGGATGAAGGCCAGGAATGGAATTTAGAACTGGGTTCAAGATTCAGGTTGCCATGGGCGCCTGGGTGTCTCAGTTGTTTCAGCATCTGCCTTCCACTGGGTCCTGGGATCGAGTCCTGCATCTGGCTTCCTGCTCAGCAGGGACTCTGCTTCTCCCTCTTTCTCTTTCCTTCTTCCTACTCGTGCACTCTCTCTCTCTCTCAATCTCTCTCAAATAAGTAAATAAAATCTTAAAAAAAAATTTAGGCTGCCACTTAACTATTCTGCCAGTTTGAGCAGATCCAAAGTCTCTCTGAACTTCAGTACTTTAATCTGTAAAATGGGGACAATGCTGCTGCATAGCCAACTTTTGTAGAAACTAAATGGAGGAATTTATGTAAAATACTATAAAAATATGCAGTGCTGTTATTATTACAGATGGTTCAAAGTGTGAATCAAGATCTCAAAAAACATAGTTACATTATTTTGAATCATGCCTTAAAAAGGGAAAGAAACCCCACAGTAATAATGAAATCTTATCCCCATAATCTCACAAAGCAAGTATCATGGTCCCTGGCTAAGTAAGAAATCTGAGGCTCAGGGAGGTTAGGTAAACTGCCACAGTCACGTAGCTGTTAAATAGCTGAGCTGAGATTTAAAAACCACACCTGCCTGCTTTAGATGCTCTGTTCTTCCTACTGCACCAGTTTGCCTTAAAAAAAAAAAAAAAAAAAGCCAGCACATATACTTTTTCTTAACATTAAAAAAAAAAAAGACATTTATGTTTGAAAACTAACTCATCCTGATAATTCCCAATTAAGATGTTGTCATCTAGCATCTGGCTCAATTTCCTTTTATGAAATATAGTAAACATAATTTGAGTATAGCTTAAATGAAGTGTCCAAATGGGATAAAACAGGTCACCTGGGAAATTAGATTTTATAGATTACAAGAATTCAATGCCTAAATCGTACTTAATGGAAGCAATTTTTTAAAAAAAATTCTTCACGAGACAATTGACTGTTCTATCAATTTCACCATTACTTCTACATGAGACATCTACAGCCTGGAGCAACTAAAGCAAAAATAAATAATATAAACTTCACTCTAAGTAGTAGTGAAGAACACCTGTGTCCTCATAGGTTTGGGGTTCACAAGAAAAACCAAGGGGGATCTCTGACTCAAGTTCAATTTTTTTACTTCCACATTGTATTTTAAAACATCCTATTTAAAAATATTTAATAATGTGAAGTTAGAGAATTTTCTTGCCCCATGGCTTTTTGAAATAGTTTTGAGTCTGTACCAGCCTTTATCCAGAAACAGAGTCTGCAATAGAGTTGAGAGCTCCAGCCATTAATTTTGCTTCCTGTGTCATCTGGCCGAAGAAATGATCTTTTTTTACAAAGTCAACGCTTTTTGAATGAGGGTGGGGTTAAGGATAAGAACCGATGTGAGGGTGCGAAGGCAGAGGTGTTGATGTAAACATTGTAGAAAAGCATCCGAGCACTACCGTGCCCTGACAAGTAACTTAAGTATCTTTCCTTTGAAACACCGTGCAAGCCCATGGTAAAATTCACATACTATAGAGTTGCACAGTCTGGGATCAAATCCCAGCTCTGTCACTTGCTAATTTTGTGATTTGAAGCAATTTTACTTGAACTCTCTGAAATTCTCTTTTTTCATCTAAAAATTAGGAATAGTTACTGCTTCCTCGGATGGGTATGATGACTCAGCCTAATCCTCGATACACATTGTCAGTGTGGTTGATGTCATTATTATTGTTTTGGTGTTGTAGGGCTTCCTTGGCATAAACATTCAAGTCCCCTATGACCTTATAAAACAATTTTGAGGAATGACAACTACTTAGGCGTCTCTTTACCATTGGATAGATTCATGCAATAGTCTACAAGGCACATATCTATTGAGATAAATTGTTAATTCAGTTTTCTTTAGGAGGCATTAAAGATAGTCATAAAATGAAAAGATTATAAAACCAAACCTTCTAGTAAATAATCACGAGTTTCTACATATTTTCAAAAGTGCACAAATTTGTACTCATCTTAGGAGAACGTATCGATTTGTGTGCGTATTTCAAGCAACCATCTTACCCACGCTGGGCCCGTGGCCGACAGCATTCTCCCCTGGGAAGGTGGCTTCTCTAATTGCAGTGAATGGTGATTCTATTTGTAGACATTTCTTCCTACAGCATGCATTTCTTTCTGTGATTATTATTTAAAAAATACTTCTCCTCAAATTATTTAGTCTTCTTGGCTATAAACGAGAGCATTCTACAGCATAAGAACCTCACAGATAATACGCATCTGGGTTGAAAATGTGTATTTTCTTATCAACAAAATAATCAGTGTTTACTGCAGCATAGGGAATACAAAAAGCATTTCAATACTAAAGACATTCAAACTACCACTTAGGCCAAAAAAAAAAAAAGAAGAAGAAGAAGAAGAAGAAAAAGAAAAAGGAAAATCGGAAGTACTGACATTATTTGAACTTCTGGGACATTTTCCTCCTTCTCCCACACTACCCCTTGCTAATAAACAAAAGCACAATTTTTCACATTGATAGAAAATGAACAGCAAGAGGACTTACCTTCCTTTAACCAAGAAATGTTATTTTTATCATTTTCGAAAAGCTCAGCTGTTCTTACTTTTATCTTTTCCAGCTCAGTTTCTGACATCTAAGTGGAAACAGAATTTGTGATATAAAAAATTCATTAAGAACCTGAATTTATAACATTGAGCTTTATATTTAGAGACTACTGCCATATTATAGGAAAATTTTCTCTCTCTAATTTTTCAGCTCGCTGTCTAATGTTAAGTCTTACATTTTATCCATTTGTAGTATTTTAAAACATTGACAGTGAGAACTAAACTTTGTATGATGGTTCATTTTTCAGCAGTAAAGATGGCTATAAGATCTAATCATTTCTAAACACAAAAGAATAACAGATTAACAACTAGTCACAGATTTGTAAAAAAAAAAAAACACATTCAGTTGCTATTTTAATGTCTTTTTTATAGTCTATAAAAAAGCATGCTGTGAAGTGATATACAAAGATATAACCAATAATAAAACTCAAAAGGACCTTTTCAGCAATTTATTGGATCCAGTGAGAACCTTAAGACTAAGTCAGGCCAAGTGGAGCTCCCTGAAGGTGCTGAGACCTATTAATGCACCTTCAGTGCATTTGCACTTGACTTGAATGGCTTGCTCACGGTGAGCTAGGACACTCCACTTGAATCAGCACCTCAGTGTAACTTACCTGCGTATTCCCAAAGGAGGAGGCCCAAGGCACGGGACAAGGGAGCAGCCTGGCGATGCTCTGGGCAGCCTTCCTTGTTGTCTCTGGATGTCCAGCATTCCTCCACCCTGCCAGAAGTGAGCAGAGAAGCAAATACGCTCCCTCCCTGGGTGGTGCTAGATTTGTCTTGCTGCCAGAAGCATCTAACTTGCCGCTGAGAGGGTTTTTTTTTGTTTTTTTTTTTTAAGGTAATATAAAGTCTATGGTTCAAAACAATAAAAACCTTTTCCAGCCTAGCACTTATTTAAAATGACACTGTGCAAAATAGGGTACAAATAATGAACTCTTTTCAAATTGACCATTTCTCCAGTCCCTCTCCTTCCACACCCACCATTCATCACAGGGGGTTAAATGTGAAGGACGTGGAAAAAACATATGGAAAAATAGACATGGACTATGTGGGTTAAAAGAAAAGGAAGGGAAATCTCTACAAAGTTGTATTCTCTAGAAGTCCATCCTGCAGCTGACATTTTGAAAAGCAAGTTTTTCTAACATTTTTTAGGCAAGAAGAAAACATTTCAAGTTTTTTTTTTTTGAGAGTCTGCACATATTCCAAAAAGGAGTTGGAGTAACATTTTAAAAGAGGATTTGTCATTAGATTCTTAGTCAAAGATCATACAATTTTCAACCCAAAGTTAACAACACAAAGTAGATCCTTAGTTATGCATGATGACAAATAGTCCGTCATTCCTAAATGTTGTCTTTTTTTTTTTTCATCATGAAAAATAATCTTTATTTTTTGGCCCGAAGTGGTTTTCCTCCTCCAGTGTCCCCAGACAACTATCTGCTATTTGATCACCTTGCACCCATTTCATCTCCTTTACCAACTTCATTTCTTGTACTTTGCTTCCAGTTTCATCATCTAAAAACTCCCTTGATAATCCAATTCTCATACTAAGACAACTTTCACTTCCTCCCATTGTCAATAAGATAAAATCTTCAGGCAGCTAAGGAAGGCCTCGAATGGTCAGGTTCTATATAACATCAGGTTCAAACTGTGGCTTCAAGTCTTAATAGTTCTCCAGGTGCCTAAACTTTTATTCCAACCTAACTATAATGCTCCTGTTCCTTGAACTTGCCTGCTTCTGTTATTAACATTCCAGAAATGTTTCCTCAAAATTCCATTTCTACTCCCACCTTGAAGCCTTCTTGATGCCTCTTACCTGGAAATGATTGCTCCCTACTCCGATCCCACTTGGGACTCCTGGTGTAATCATCTCTATTTTGGTCTCACGTAAACCAGTCTTATCTTCCTCCCAAGACTATAAACCCCATGAGGGCTCAGCCTAGATCTCAGCATTTTCTGTATCTTGCTCAGTGTGTGGCTTCTCTAATTGCAGCGGATAGTGATTCATTACTATTACTTCCTACAGCATGCATTTCTTTCTATGATTATTATGTAAAAAATACTTCTCCTCAAATTATTTCATTTTCTTGGCTATAAAGGAGAACATTCTACAGCATTAAGAACCTCACAGATAATATGTATCTGGGTTGAAAATGTATATTCTACAGATTAGTAATGAAATAAAACCAGCATATAGAATTGGTGGTGTTTTCCTTTGTCCCAAAGTCTTAGTTAGGATACCCCTATTAAAAAATTCCTTTAGGTTGTCTCTTTTCTATAGTTAGGGCATTTCATTTTTTTTCTAGTCCAGCGAAGTTGGATTTATTGGCCTGTGGCAATGAAGAGGGCACACCATTGGAAAAGTGGGCTTCTCAGTAAAAGAAAATGAAAGTGGACTTATTAAAGTGTTTGGGCAAATGTTAGATTAGGGGAGGGATTAAGAAAGTGGAGTTTCACTCGTAAATGTGTATGTTCTATTGTAGCATTTTATGTCCCTTATTCATTTGGTGACCTAATCTGATTCCCTTAATAGTTTAGACATTGTCCTTTGGAAACGCATATTATCTAAAAATGTATGTATTAGTGGGGCCTGGAAGAAATTTGGTAAATAATAGTTGTGACAATCTTAAAACAGTGAACAATGACAGCATGGAAGGTAAGAAAATGTAAGGCACAAATAGCTAACGGAGAAGAGACAGTCAAACAACCAGAAGGGAATAATGAGTGAGCGGGAACACTGTTTGAATGTGTTATTCCTCCTCGTTGATTTTCGGTTATATTTTTATATTAGACTGTATGGTTAATAAAACTTTTTTTTTTTTTAAGATTCAAAATGGAGTTTGCATCTTTCTAGGGTTACAAGTCATCTAACCTCTTTTTCCATGTGGTTTTTAAGGCAGGGAACCCATTTTAACCTGTCAGCTGGTGACATTTCAAGGGTCAGATCCTGTGGTCATTTTTTATGTATTTTCCTTAATTTCATCTAAACTATTTTCCAATTATCTGTCCCAAGACCAGTCCATAACTCAAACTCCTGTCCACGTTTCTTACTTTGGAGATTACAGATTACTCTTGCTTCTGGTTTGTTCTCTGATTATCCTTGACATCTACATCTTTTCTACTTGTTTCACTTTTGCAGTTACTATGATACAATTATTAGAGAACCAGTGTTAAGTAAATTGCAAGCTTTAAAATCCCTTTGCAAGAGTTGTCCTGAGGAGGGAATTTTTATGAAGATAAAATGCATTTCTAATTTGGAAATACCTAATTTTGGCCAATATTATTTCCAACATGTTCTAACACTTGGAATATTTATTATTTTGTTTTATCCATTTTCTTTGCTTAGCCCCTCACTGCCCTCTGATTTTCCCTTTGCCTTTTCAATTGGCTTTGATCTTTAAGAGTGTTTGACATTAGTTGAATTTTCTGTATGGAATTTTGTTTTATTTTGAGGAGCACCGTTTTTTGAAACCAGACAACTCATTTTGAATTCTATTCTTGTCTTTGTTTTAGCAATCATTATGAGACCTGTAGATGTTAATAAGTATCATATTCAATTTCCTTCATCTACTTTATCAGTAAAGATGGTAAGAATAGGCACCAAGTACTTTTTCCCGAACCAATGTGTATCACTAGTGTCCTTGTGAGCGAGACATTGCATTAAAGGTAGTGCATACTCGTGCCAACCTTTAAACCATTTATTCATTCACCTAGAGATGTCCTTGGGCCACAAAAGCCTTGGGATGAATGAGATAAATCACAGTTGATGGTAGGAAGAGAAGAGAAACCAAGTCTAGTGAATCTCAGACCTAGCATGGAAACAATAGATGGTCCAAAATGAAGGTAAAAAGTGACAAACCAGCCTCAGAAGTCAGTCTGGTTTTACTAGAATTCAAAGAGAACATATTTAAAAAAGAACCTCCTCCCAAATTGTGTTCATTGTGTCTACTTAAAATAATGAGCTAAACAATTCAAACCTAAGGATATGATTTCAAGCCTCAAGTTTTCTTGTTAAATTCTGTTTTGGTTTTCTTTTCTAAATAGGGATAGTTTGAATGTGCTCTTTTTATAATTCCATTCCTTTTATTTTGACTCGTGCATCAGTATTTCTAGTTCCTAGTCAAAATCTGATTAAAGATAGAAACTTAAAGGACAAACTATCCAGCAGAAGGCAATCTTTGCCAAGAGAAAAACCTATACTGACTGTATGTTTCATGTTCTTGTTTTTGTAAAAAGAAAATAATAAAATTGAATGCATGAGGCTAGAGCGTTCCCTAACAGACAAATAATTATGTGCTATCAGCAGCAAAGGCAGTCCTAAGAGGGAAGTATATTATAATACAGACCCATCTCAAGAAGCAAGAAAAGTCCCAAGTACACAACCTAACCTTACACCTAAAGGAACAGCAAATAAAGCCTAAAGCCAGCAGAAATAAACAATATAAAAACAAACAAACAAAAACCAGTAGAATGGATTAACAAAACTAAAAGTTGGTTCTTCGAAAGAATTAATAAAATTGATAAACCCCTAGCCAGGCTTACCAAAAAGAAAAGAGAAAGGACCCAAATAGATAAAATCTTGAATGAAAGAGGAGCGATCACAACCAACACCACAGAAATACAAACAATTATGAAAAATTGTATGCCAACAAACTGGGCAACCTGGAAGAAATGGACAAATTCCTAGAAACTTACAAACTACCAAGTAATTATGTGTTCTCAGATTTGCCTTTTTTGTTGTCTTCAAGATCATTACATTGTCACTTGCTGTTTTTTCTAAAACAATGAAATTGTATGTGTAATGAGACACTATGATATTTATCAATGTGGAGAGAAGTTACCAATGCAGATTTTTGGATTTGAGGTATGTAATTTGTAGAGCAGTTTTTCTGAAGGATTAGTGGATTGGATCCAAATGGAAATGTTATAGGAAGTTGTGCTATTCTTTGGCAGTATGTTTTCTGCTATAGAATGGAATCTCTGTATTATTTAGTACAGTTACTTAAAACGTTTTCAATAACCATTCTAACGACCGATAAATGCCATCAAGTATTTTGCGCTTTTAACATTCTCTTTGGGATTTTTTGGCCTCAATACAAAAATACACATGGAGTAAATAAACATTGGTCCAAAACATTAGAGGCAAAGGTAAATAAAACAAGGAGAAAATTCCATATTTGCAACACAGGCTTTCTCAGGGCAAGGTTAGAGCTAACACCACAGGCATACCAATTCAAGGATTTATTAGACGTTAGATCTCATCAAAAGTTTAGGTTCAAGAAATAACACTCAGGGATATAAAATGCATTAAGTTTTATCCTTGTTTCATGCCAGATCATTAAAAAGAGCTGTTTACCTTTACCAAATTATTTTTATACCTTATAAAGCTCCTTTTACTGACTTAGATGTTGGCTGGCACTGAGAAAAGATTTAAACATGTCGATGACACTCACTGGTGGGTTTATTATGAAGATTTTTGGTTCCTCAGAATTATGATATGCATCCTTAACTTAGTGCAGTCCACTTAGTTCCTCTGCATGTTAAATGTAATAACTTTATAACTATAATTCCGCTTACACACTCCTTTAAACTATCATTTTCATATATTGTACTCTACAAATGTTACAATCTGACAGGCAGTGTTCGTGTGTTGTGTGTGTGTGTGTTTAAACAGTCATTTGTCTTTTAAAGAAATTAGGAGAAAGAAAAAAAATGATAATTCTTTTAATGTTACCCACACAGTTGCCATTTCTTCAATTCCTTTCAGCAGACCTCAGTTTTCATTTGATTTCATTCTTCTTCATCCTAAAGAGCTACTTTGTTGTTGTTTTGGTTTGCTTTGTTTGTTTGTTTTTGGTTTTTTTTGTGTGTTGGGGGTTAGTTTTTGGGTTTTGTTTGTTTTTGTTTTTGTTTTTGTTTACCACTCCTTGAAGTTAAGGTCTGCTGGTGACAAACTCAGCTTTGTTTATCTAAAAACCTTTTTAGTTCACTCCCATTTGTGAAGGATATTTATCCTAGATATAGAATTCTTGATTGCCAGTTTTTTCCTCCCCCCACCCCCTCCTTTCCTTCCTTCCTTCCCTCCTTCCTACATCTAACATGCCTTTTCCCCTCTCTGGTCACTTTAATTTTCTTTTCTTTTTCTTTGGTTTCCAGCAGCCTGACTATAATGTGTTCAGGTGTAATTTTCTTAGTATTTTTTTTTTTCTAATTAGGTTTTTCTGAGATTCTAGTTTCTGCAAGTTGGTTGATGTTTTTCACCAAATTCAGGATATTTGGGGCCATTATTTCTTCAGATATTTTTCTGCCCCCTTCCCTCTTTTCTCTCCCTCAAACATTCCAATTACACATATATTAGATTCCTTAATATTTTCACACAGGTTACAGAGGCTCTGCACATGTTTTCCCAGATTTTGCTCCCTATCCTTCCAATTGAATAATTTCTGTAGCTTTGCCTTCAGGGTCAATAACACTTTCTTCTATAGTCCTCAATCTACTATTAAGGCAATCCCATATATTTTTAATTTTAGATATATCTTCATTTTAGATATACTGGAGTTTACATTCTATTTG